GTGTCATAATGTGATAACTTCAGTGTTCGAGTGTGATATCATTATTCTTATGCTCCGTCGAAGTAATAGTTAAGGTATACGCGTTATTCAGGTGAATTCGTTGTTGATGAGCCACGAGTGGCCGCAGAAACAGACACAGCCGCATCAATAGTCTGGCAGAAAATACATCATCATGAACCTGTATTCTATCAGGTATTTCTTCCTTAGTAGTTATCTGTCTAACAGTTTTTGCTTATCAATAGAGTGATTTCTAGCAAGGAAAATCTTAAACGGATAACAAATTGCCATTGCAGTCCTCAGAAACGCGTGATTCATGAATAATGAAATTAAGGTTCGATATACACCGAACGATGGTGGTCAATCGACTGTGATGGCCGTTCAGTCGGAACTGAATCTGCAATGTCCTAAAGTGGGATGCGATTGGCTGTGTGCACTTGTCTTTAATTTGCCACAACGTCCTCGTGACTTCTTGTTCGATGTACGCGCTAAAGTGGCCGGTATCTGGAATAAGTGGGTACCAATTGCACGAAGGTACGTCTCAAAAATACTTCTCGCCAAACCTAATCAGCACGAATTCCTAGCCTAAACTTCACTCAAGCGAATTCATTGCTTTGCTGTATGGTTTACCTGCAAACTGCTTCAGGATATTTCAATCATTGTACTGGTGGATATATTGAATTTCATGAAATAATCCGCGTTACTGTGACCATAAGCTGCTGAAAATTGTAAGTCACTGATCAGCTAGTCCGCGATCCATCTCAAATTTTGATCAAACCTCTTACAAGACAATAGTTGACAGCAATCACTACTTGACGCTACACTCTTGCCATCATCATCATTATATTATTATCAGTGAACCGTTCAGCATCAAAATAGAAGTGTTCAGTTCTGGACATAATTACAATGAGCCTTTCATTGCCTTATTTCAGACATTGGAATCTTATGGAACGAGTGTGCAGCATCATTCCACCACCGTTTTTCGTTGAGAATATTGGCAAGCGCGATTTCATGCGTGAGATTGATCTAGGAAGCGCTGATTCATACGATAAGAATGCATGGTTAGTGGAATACTTGCAATTAGACCTTTCAATTAATCAGCGTATATATTGTGAATTTCGCGAAGGTTCATCAGAAGTTTGGTGTTCTGAAGCATTCTCCACTTCGATTCCAACAATGGATCAAAATTTCTTCTCAATAAGGCCCAAAATTACTTCCTCACGTATGCTTCTCCATGCTATTCACTCAAAATGCGTAATTTAATGGAGGTGGCTAACAGCAATTTATCGATCATGAAAAGCGCACCAGTTTCTCGACAACGGAATTCCAGATCCACCCTAAAATCGAAAACAAAAATTCCGCATTAACAACAGGTTTAGGTTTTGAAAGTGAAACCAATTTTGTATTGCCTTAAATCTTTCAGGAAATATTTGGTGGTCATTGATTTACGCGACAGTGCAGATAATTTGCTGAGTGCAATCGATATTTCACGTCTGAACGATAAGGCGACATCGGATTACGAACAAATGCCGTATTATATTACAGCTGGTCTAACACCAAAGCAAGTTGACGATAAAATTCAATTCAAGTAAGTCAGTAGTTCGAAAAATATTTCAGCGATGTCCTTCTGTATGCGAGAATGCCACCCGAATCATGGAAATACTCACGGCGTTCAGAAGCAGATCCATTGACCGTTAATTACATAGTTTCCGAATGAAGTTGTTTCGACAGATTCCAAGTTATGGGCAAATTAGGGTGATTCGAGAGGACGGAGAGCCTTTTGTTGCAATTTGAGTGAATTTGATTGCAGGATTGGTGATGGACAAGTATATGGTGGCTACCTGAATTATCCACTTGAGAGAGATGCCAACCCAAAATGGTATCTGATTCCGATGTCAGATTCGGAGAATGAAATAATGGAACCAATGCTCAAATCGTGTGGATTCAAAGAGGACGGTATAACTGGAAAATTTTTTACTTGAATAATGTCTCAGCAGTGCATCTAGCTAAGAAAAAATTGCGCACATCTTTATAAAAATCCCGTATTATTTGAACATCTTTTGGTACAACAGTATAATACGATTTGAAGATTTCATCTATTGGCGTTCGTTTTTCCGATGTTGTGATTTCTCGTAGATCAAATACATACTCTTTTAAAAATTATGAAAGAGTAAATTTCAATTGCTGATCATTTCTCCAGTCAGAACTTTTGGTGCGAGCTAACTATAAGAGTTCTTGAATTGATGTCACTGTCTAAAGAGCATCATTCGAATTGCTGTTCTTCGACTGTGTTGCATATTTCATCACTCTGACACAATCCAAAATTCGAACTCATATTCAGGAACTGTTGAATGCGATTTTACAATCGCCCAACTTCTCAGCTATATTCCTTGGTGGATTGGCTTTGCTAGCGTTCTCGTTCTTGTTATTATTGCTATTTTGGTTTGCATCGGATGTGTGTCGGCAGCTAGAAAGTGCATTTGTTAGTTAAACTCTTTTGGTTGTTACTAACAATAAGTATCATACGGATTCAACCGATAAAGTAACACCAACCCATGAATGCCGGTTATAATTAGTTGAGAGAAAACATTGAATATACTTTTGTGGGTTACTCATATCTGGTGCACTCCACTTCAATATTGATTATGTGTAATTCACTGAAACAATTTAGGAAAAATATACCGAGAAAATATGTCACATTTAAAGAGGGTTGAACTGAGATGGAAATACTTACAAAAATGAGCACATTTTTCTAGCTGCATAAGTACCTGAACCTAAGAGAAATCAGTTAGATTACCATTGGTTTCATGAGATTTGAAACAATATCTCTGCAAGCATATACATAACTGCATTAGTCAATTGCACGTGAATGTGGTTGGTGTTAAATCGTTAAGAAATATTCAGAGTTTTGCCAAATATATGTGTATTTATACATTTATGTAATGTTCAATCATGTTATTTCCAAACCATCAAACGTTCAGTTCGTTGATTAAGGCTCAAAACTGAGGCGTCAAAAGCGTTCACGACGAAGAGGACAACGACGAAGTGATAATAGTGAACCAACGACAAATTACATCCATGAAGAATCACCACACATAAGTAATAGTAATACGTTGGCGGGGAGGCGAATCCCCGTATCAGTTCGAGACAACAGTATTTGTGATTGTCATGAGAACACAAATGAGTACAATAAAAGCAAGATCAATCCTAATCGTAATGATAACTGTCGATATTCAATGCGTTATGATGAAAGCGAACAACGACATCCTCTAACAGAAGAGAATATAAACGAAGTTCATGTGATCAGTCTATGAGTGCTTGTTGGATTGATAATGTTGATAATATCAGTGATGATAATGAACGTGATGATGCATATAAGTATATTATGAAAATGAGCATTGCATTTCGCTAAACTATTGATTCTTTTCTTTTCGGTTCACTGCTAATCGTCACAACTTCTAAATACACTCAATACTCTTCTTGTTGAATACTGCTTCTGGATGCAATCACAGCGAAATACTGCTTACTACATACGCAAATTTCCAGGAGAAAGTAATCGTTGTCGAACTGAAGTGTCTGAGAAATGAGTGAATAGATGACGTTGGTAAGAGTGGAATTAATAACGAAAGTGATAATAATTAGAATTATTTCTGGGGCAGTCACAAGGAAAGCAATAATAACAATAGTGAATATTCATCAAAAAATCATTTCACTCAGAACTGTTTCAGCATCCTCATAACCCGCCAGTCCACCACTCATGTCTCGCCGATCTTGACCAGTAATCGGCCTCATATTCATTGGGATGGTTGAAATTGTGAATACATCACCACTGTTGCTGATGAATGATTTGTTCCGTAATAATTCTTTCTTCTTAGTCTCCAGTTTGCGCTTCTTCAAACCTTCCTCGGTGTAAATCGTCGAAAACCACCATGGGAAAAAATAATCTCTCAGGATCCATACGTTGAAAATAAACCACGATCCAAGGCACAACAATCCAAACGCATAATAAAGGTCATCTCGGTATTGACTGAGATTCAAAAATCGACGTACCTCAAAACACAGATACCATTAATTTCTCAACAGAAAATAGACTGTGTTCATGTCTATGTAGAAAACTTCCAGAGCAGATTCACATTGATTTTTTGGATCCACGTTAATTTCAGAAATAATGAAGTTCCAGATCAATCGTCTCTTCAGATCATCAATTTATCACTATGCGACACTTGAAATGCAAGCTATTGATCGATACAAATCAATACATTGAGAAAATGCAGAAATCGAACGTCTTTTCAGAATCTTGTCAACGATAACGATGTCTGCTGTGATGATGTAGTGGAAAAATATGATTGTTGCAAGTGTTCTTGATTAGTTTGAGGAAGTTTTGAGAACAAACCTTGAACAGTGTTGGTAAGACGGTTGATGTTGATATTAACGTGGTGTTATTATTATCCGAAGATAATGCTGATGTGGACTCGCTTACAAATGCCGACGTTGGAAGAACGATTGGCGCAATGTTTAAGCTCGATCAAAATTCATAAGCGGCGAGACAGCAATGATCAGAATATTCTGATGGCGATGCACAAACCTATTGACAGAGTGAACAACGCAGTGCACGAAACGAGCAAATTCTGAAATTTTTGCATGTCAACACAATTTTATACTTCTTACGAATAATCCACTTATCCATTGGAACTTTCGAACAGTTCATCGGATGGCAGAAGAAAAAAGAATTCATTCAGATAGTACACGTAAAAATCCTAGCGAGATAGTACTTAAAAGATGTGTGTCAAATGACTGATTCATTGAATAGAACTTGGAACTGGCTAAAGTTTATTTTTTTCATTCTGATATTAGTAAATCGATTTTGAATTGGAGGCTTGGTGAATGAATGAGTTAAATTATTATCGGCGACCATTATTTCCCAATTTTCGATTCATGGGTGGGTGACTCTCGGCTATTTGGTAACTGGATGGAATGTACCGCAAAATTTTGAATTCGCTTGATAATATGATGTAATCCACAACAATAACAGCAAAGTAGACACCATAAAATGAACTTTTCCTTCGTCTGGCAACGTAACACATCCATGAAGGACAAGAATATGAAAGAAAAAAGCTCTCGTATATGGCCGCTTCGAGCCCGTAAATCAAATTTCGTCAGCACAACCGTTTCTAACTAAAATTGCTTTTATTCAAACATCCTCACGCGATTCACTTGAATAGACAGATGTTTCAATTTAACAAATGCACGATTTAGATTGGGACGTTGAACTGGTCTTCAGACAAATGTTTAATTCTTGGAGCCTCAAGTCGATTTCTCGAACGATTTTCATGTCAGCGAGCAGCTATCTCGGTTTTGATGTCGCTGATCTCGACAAGAAGTGCAATTAGCGAAGCAAAGTTGATCAGTAGAACTTGATCGAAAAAGTCGCACTGCTTCATAGCTCGCCTCACACATATTTGGCAGTACATCGCATATTTAGCATGTCCTGAGTCATAAGTACAGTAATCAGTTAATGATGGTATTGTACCAATGAACCGCAGGGAAAAATGAGAGAAAAATATAAAACTTTTGATAGAGAAATTGGAAAATGAATTCTAATTTACAAAATTGAACCGAAAGAATTCGGTTCAAATTGCATGCGCAGAATTTGAGCCGGAAAGTTTGATGAATGAAAAAGTTTCAATTCAAAAATTTCATAGTAACACTCAAGAGATGGACGAGAAAGAGTGAAATTCGATCACACTCGTATGCAACAAGTGTTGCGTCGATGCTTTTCATAGTGTCATATTTGGTGTTGACGCATATTAAAGACATTCGAATGGATGAATGGAATCGAAGAAGGGCTGAGGCGTTTAGTCAAAAACTACTTACTGAGTTTTTTTTNCCGGGATTTCAATGAATATGGCAAAGCTTGAGTGAAATCAGCAAGAAGACCTCAACGGAATTCGAGATATTAACTTGGCGACACTGAGCTAAGCTCGATTCTCAGTGAAATTTTAAACAGTTGCAAAATCATTTCATGTGATGGTTGCATACGAAAAGTTGGTGATTAATCAAAGATTCCGGGCAGATCGATGATTCAAAAAATTGTTTTGAGAAAACAATAACCAAGAAACACATGTTATGAATATAAATCATGTGTGCATTATGAGAGCGAAATGTTAGGAAGAAGATGAATGTTCTGAATTTAATTCATCATGATTTAGCAAAAACAAATATGCATTTGTATGTCAACTTGTTGGAATCGTTTTGAAAAACTGAAAAGAATTACTTGTGAACGCAAAAATATGCCGATAAGAAATGAGCATTCGGAAATCAAATAAAACAGTAAGAAAGGCTGTCTTCCAAGCAAAAAATACAATCAGCAGCAATAAATTCAATCAATCATAATGATGTGACGTTGGTGCCGATCAGCATGACGTTAATTGCAATCATACCTGTGATAGTAGTGGTGACGACAATATCGCAACAATCATTGGGATACGAAAGTTTGGCTGTTTACCACTATGTTCACCGAATCAATCATTCGAATTAGAATTTCATGAAAACAGATAATTCCCTTCGCTGATATCGTTAGCTGCTTGGAAAGGAGAATCAAGACAGGTAGAATGTGACATTTGTAATATTGATAATCACCACAATAATAATCACGACAATAATAGTAATGACGACAATAATAATGACATAATTGTTATCAGTATTATTATTAATACTGATAGTAATAGCGTTAATAATGTAATAATAACAGCAATAATATTTAAAATAATTCAAATAATACCAGTAATAACAAAATTAATAATAACAATAATGATGATCGCAATACCACTGAGGGAAAAAGCAGTGCAAAAATTCAAGGATTATACCAGAGCAGTTGGAAGATTACACCAAATCTCTTCATCATTTTTCAAGCAGTTTGCTCGCTTTTTCGATATACTTTTCCTAATACCAATACACTGATGAGAAGCTTGTAGAAGTTTTC